TTTTTTTTTTTTCTAATTTCATTCTATCTTTCTGTCTTGTGGACCAACCAGTTATTTAGAGACTCTTTGGACTATGTGCATGATCTTGTTGCTCCTGGAAAGATGCTATCTGGAAGAGGCACTGCACTAGTTCATCTGAATGACATGATCTTCCGTGTTATGAAAGGTTTTTTGCTGTTTCATTTGTTTACTATGTATGTGTGGGTGTTTTTATTTATCTTCCTTTTGGTTCACTCTATTTTAGTATTTTATACCTTCATACTTATGACAATATTAATCGCTTTGTAGGGTATTTATCCTCCATCTTGGAGATGTGCATTATGTTCTAATTTTTACAAACAAACTAAACAATATTAAGTCTCTATTGAATTAGGTTCTGCATTTCTTAATATTTCATGATTTGTTTCCTTATTTAGTTAGGATTATGATATAATATTAATATAAATAAGGGTTATCACTTTATGTTTTGTATCATATTTTAACATCTTATCATATCAAGTCAATACCACTTTCCATATATTCAGTCTTTGTTATCTCTTTTCCCTCCTCTATGCCAAAAACTATATAATTTCAACAAGCACATTTCAATGGTTACAGATGGAACTTCTGTGACGAGAGTTGAGGTAAGCATGCAGGCACCAAGGCTTCACTATGTTCATCCCACATACTTTGAGGCTGGCAAACCCATGGAGTTTGTTGTTTGTGGAAGTAACTTACTGCAACCTAAGTTTCGGTGTGTAATTGTCACCTCTTATAATCATTTAAAGCAGTTCTTTGTTGCGTTTATTTATGTAATAGACATAACATAAGCATGTTTGCCTGCATTTGTGCATTATAGATGTTTTTAGCAATGTTGAGGACCTATAAGTTTGGGTAATGTTTAGCATTATAAACGTTTTTAGAAATATTGAATCCATAAGCAAAAAGAGAGTGGGAGATGTGCAATATTATGGATGAGGGATTGAAGCATCCTTAGATCTCACTGAGCCCAAAACCTAAATATTTTTTGTGTCCAATAAACAATAATCTATTAACTTTGAGTTCACATGTAATTGGTTGTTGACAAAGAAGTAATGTCAGATAGACCGACAGAGTGTTCCTATTAATGAAAACATAAAGCAAACTTAAAACTGAAATTTCATAACAATAAGTCCATAGCATCCAAAAAAGTCAGAATTAGTCATGTACACCACCAACAACCTACTGCCCCTGCCCCACTACCACTTGGCCCAACACCAGTAGAAGTCATTTTCAGCTCTATAAAACAGGACCACCGACCAAACCACCAAAATATCCAAAACAAAACAAGAAGAATCACCGAAACTTGAGATAGACAAAAGGGAGTGGTTTTCAGGATCAGTCGTCACACACACAAGCACTAAAGCACAACTGCTAACACCCAGAAATCAGAACTGAGATACGAGAGGGAGAGACCAAGAGATGTTTGAAGTGGGAGATAGAATGAGGTGAGCTGAATGAGTATGAGGCTTGTATATGAGAATAGGTCTGAGAATGAGAGGAGCATCTCTGATTTGGGGGAAAATGGTAATAAAACATTTGGGCCAACCGGGACACACAACCTGACTCAGAAAAGGCAACTTGCAGAATTGGGAACATTGTCTAATCCCACTGAAGCAATTTCATGCATGATCCGATTGGGGAGAAGGCCATGAGATGTAAAACAGTGTTTTTGATGGCGGATCATGGCAGACAGATGAAAATTCACCATATACATATGGTGGATGGCATTGCTGATTATGGCGGGAGCATGGTGTGTGTGTGTATAATTGCGTAAATAAAATTGTAATGCAGAGGTAGAGTCAAACATCAAAGGTAAAAAGGAGAGGTTAAGGGGTCAAATGACCCAAAACCCATATTTTCTTTTCTCATCAGATTTTTACCACTGGCCTCTCTTTTTCCATCTTTGTCTTCTTCAACTCTGCCATGGCCACAGCTTCCACACTCTGCCACGGGTGCTAGATGAACAGTGGCCACCATGGCCTCACATGCAAAATCCGCAATGCCACCGCCATAGAATGGTGGTCAGAGAAAAATCCACCACCAAAGTCCACCATGGCTGTTTTTTAACAACACTTGTAAAATTTTGCGGTTTCATGTTTTAATGAGCGATCTTGACGACACTTGTAAAATTTTGTTTATGCTGTTGGAAGTGGTCACAAGTGGTTAGTCACTGTCAGTAATCGTTATGCCTTATGCATAGGGTGTAAACGAGTCTAGTGGGAGCTGAACACTTGAAGTTTACGCTTGGCTTGTGGAAAAAAAATGGGTTGTTCAAACTTGACTCATTTATTTAAACAAGCCTATTTGAAAGCTTGTACTTGACATGTTTAGCTCATTTATAACTTGTTTTTCTTTTACAAAATTTTTCTTAATATTTTTTTTTTATTGATTTAGTACTTAATAAACATTTTAATGCTAGATTATAATCTACAAATAAAAATATATGCTCAACACGTGGTATGTGGAATTCAGACATTCTAGATTATTGCATTTTCATAAAGTAAATAAAAAAATTCATAATCATAACATCTTGATTACTACAAAAAAAAAAAAGCTTCAAAATTAATTTTAATGCCCTAAATAACAAAGGCTAGTTAAATATCCATTATCAATTTAAATGGATGAGCTATTCATGAGTCATTAATTTTGAGTTTGTAAAGCTTGAGCTTGACTCATTTAAGTAATTGAGCACAATGTCTGGCTTTAGTTTGTTTATTTAATAATTAAACAAACGAGCTTGATCGAGTGTTTAATGAGTAGAGCTTGAATAGTTCAAGAATAGCTCAACACATTAGCACCCCTATATTTATTTTATTTTGGAATGTAAGTTCCGTATATGATTATAGGCTTATAGCCCCAGAGCATGGTAAATAGGCAGCACATGTGGTGCAAACTTTGTTATAATCCTTTTCCGTTATTCTCCAATCTCAATTCTATTAGAAAATATAATATGATTTCAAATTGATCATGCTTTATACTTTCTTTTATTTCAGTTGATATATTCTCATTTTCAAATTTATCATCTTAATGGCTAGTTTATATTCTGGTTCACTTGTGAATGTGCTTCTGACTGTATTGAGGTGGCGTCATGGCAGGCTTCTTGTATCATTTTCTGGAAAGTATCTAAAATGTGAGTATTGTGTACCGTCTCCACATAACTGGACTGAAGAAAATATTTCTTGTGCTTTTGACAATCAGTTATACAAGATATATGTCCCTCATACTGAGAAAAGTTTCTTAGGGCCTGCATTTATTGAGGTAATAATTGACGTATACTTCTGTTTCCTTTAACTATGCTTTGACCTGAATGTTTTATTTGTCTACTGCTACGTTTTTTTAGCTTATACATTGGGAGCACCTGATGTTGACCATAGTCACTTCTAATGTGTTATATGTGTGTTAACAATATGTGCTAGAAAATCATCAAACAAATTAATGACAGTAGAATTTTTAATGGCCACAATTGAGTACTTTGAGCTTAACCAGATCATAAATTTGGGTGCCATTTTTGGTTTATAATTCTTTTTTGTATTTTGTGTTAGTTTATTTTTCTGATAACTAAATTTATAGACATCAGAAGATCACCATATTGCAGCATGCCAAACTGCGGTAGCATATTACTCCTGTAATTTAGAAAGTCACTCCCTGGTATTCAGAACTGTTATCCTGTTGGGTCTTTTTACTAGACTGGTTGTTGTCAAAGTACTTGTAATTTATGTAAGGATGCTTTGCGACTAATGGCTGCAGTGATTAAGAGAGTTATTGAATTAACTTTGAAATCTAGTACTGAATCGTTCTAATGCTTTATTAATTAGATGTGTCTTATTGATAATAACATAAAATTAAGATAAATTGTCTGCACCTTTTGATTTAATACAGTATCGATTGTTGATCCATTTACAAGTTTGATTAAGTTTCATTTTTAAATGCTTCACATCAACATGGAAGAACCTTTTTTTTTTTCTTAATTTTTTTTAAATCGTTGCTTTTATGCCAATTCATATTTCTTACCCCTTGTGTTTTATCATATTCCTTTTGCTTTATGTAGGTGGAGAATGAATCGGGTTTATCAAATTTTATTCCTGTACTCATTGGGGATAAAGAAATTTGTACTGAAATGAAGACACTGCAGCAAAAATTAGATGTATCTCTCCTTTCGAAAGAATTCCGATCAGCATCTGGTTATTCTATCTGTAGCTCATGTGAAACTTTCGCACTTAGTCACACATCATCATCAGACTTACTTGTAGATATAGCATGGTTGCTAAAGGACACTATTTCAGAAAATTTTGACAGGGTGATGACAGCTTCACAAATTAATAGATATTGTCATTTGTTGGATTTTCTGATATGCAATGATTCAACAATCATTTTGGGAAAAATATTACCAAATTTGATAATCTTGACAGAAAGCATGAAATCCAATAATATTGTGATTAATAGGACGAGTGATGTTGACATGACACAACTCCTGAATCACATACATAATGCTAGAAATGCCATATATCAGAAACATCAGAAAGGTGGAGGTATAATTGTGCACTCTGAAATGGAAGGCTATCAACTTGTTCAGGGATGCTCCCAAGATAACAATCTATCAGTTGCAGTTAACAGTCAGGTTAGAACTATTCTCTTAGTTTTTTATCCTTGATGATGCAATATGAACGTATTTTGAAGTTTTAGATTAAGATGCTTTACATTTTACTTTGTGGTCTTTTTCTTACCATACAATGGAAAATAAAATTTGATGCATCCTATAATAATATAAGCAGTCTAACTCTTAATACTCTAAACTGGTGGCAATGGCAATCAATTAGTTAGAGCTCTGAACTGTTTTAATTCCGTAAAATTTTATAGCAGGGAACTTAAATGATTGAAGTGTTGGTGTGCAGATTTCATGATAACAATCGAGTTTATTATGATATTATTATAGAAGTACAGAAGGAAGTTGCTAACACACAAAGTGGGAGCCGGGGTATGATCGATTAAAAAAGAAAGGGCAAGAGCATATATAGAAAAAAGAAGTGAGAATAGCATATAAATAAGAAATAGAGTTGCTCGTTGAAATAATAGAAGCAATCAATGGTTACCACTCCTTTTGTCATATGGTTAACAAATGAGGCAGAATCAGATTAGAATGAGTGGCCTTAGTGATTTAGTAATTATCAATGGTTATTCTGGTTTTATAACTTCGGATAGTTTGTAAGATTTAGTGACACTGCCATAACAATTAACATGCATTTTGTACATGAATATTTGTTTTGCAGGGTATCCTGTCGAGAGCAGATGCAAAGTGGGGAGTATTAAAAAGTCCAACTTCCAATGACAAAAATGAAAGAATACCCCTTTTAAAAAGGGATATTATAATGAATGTGGAAGAGTTGCCTGGAAGATATGGGCGCCGATGTTTGGGCAGGGGATTCTTGATCTCTCGACCAGCTATTTTTGTGATTGTTTCTGTTGCTGTTTGTCTCGGGGTATGTGTGGCTGTCCTTCATCCTGGGAGGATTAGTGAGTTAGCTGTATCCGTCAGAAGGTGCTTGTTTAACTATTAGATGTTTCAATTTTTTTGTACTCATCTTCTAGCTGGTACATATTTGTTGTAACACTAAATAAACTGGTGTTATGTTATTGGGATGATTAGGTAGTTTATTACATTGGAAGCTTAATCCAACATTGCTAAGTTGTGCATTATCAATTTAATCGGATGTCCAGAGGGACTTGCAGGTGCTGTAACTGCAACGAGTCTGATCATAGTTAAAATTTAAATTCATAGCATTATTATTATTATTATTAATATGGTTCATTTTCTTAATTGATTATTATTATTTTTTTAGTTTTAAATAAACCCACGACTATTCGAGTTTGATAAATCAGGTTAAATCCTATATAAAAGTTCATTGTGAAAAAGGTTCTGATAGTAGTATGAAAGTAAAATTGTTAAGTTGGAAAGATTGTGTGAACATCCTAATTTGGTCCCCTATAATATTTTAAAATTTAAATTTAGTCTTATTTTAATTTTTGGGTTTAATTTAGTCCCACCTATTAAAAGTGCAAATAATGTTTGTCTTCCGTCTAAATTTTTTAAATGTCGTTTAGGAGTATCCATGTGATTGGGAATCACGGATGTGATTTTCACGATTTTTACTTAGCAGATTTTTTTGATGTGATTTACACCGTGAGAATCACGGGCGTGATTGAGAATCACGGGCGTGAGAATAATTCTCACGGCTTTTTAATGACGTTTGAGAAATTTAGACGGAAGGCAAACATTGTTAGTATTTTTGACATGTGGGACTAAATTGAACCAAAATATTAAAGTGAGATTAAATTAAAACTTTAAAATATTATAAGGGACCAAATTAAGGTTTTAACATGTGAACATTCAATTTTGACGTCGTCCTCTTTATTATTACTTTTTTTAATTAGTATGTTATCTATTAACAGATATAAAATATAAACAAAATTAATTAAAAAATGAAAATAAAAACGAAAATATTAATAATAATGAATCCAGCCCCTTTTTTTTATGTATAGAAAAAATTAGAAAGACGCAACGATTGAATCTAGTCCTCCTGTTTCTATTCTAATTTTTTCTTCTAACCATTGTGTAATTTAGTCCAACTAAAATGAAAAGAAAAAGAAAAGAAAGAATAATAAGACTAAAAAATGAAGGTACCCAACCCAACACATACATGAATTGTGGAGCAGAAATGAAATGACGAATATTTTTTCAGGAATAAAGTGGTGATGAATCTGTAATGAAGAAAATTAATAAATAAACAAGAATGCTAATTAGGTATTGATCAGCGTTAGAAATATTCTTCCTGACATATTCCTTAATATATTCTTATATTTGTCTATATTTATTAAAGATATAAAATTATTAGCGTGGTGCATTAAACAGGGAGATTTATTCAATTTTATAATTTTCAACAAGTACTAGTAATAAAATAACAGTCCAGATGGATTTATTTATCAATCATAAAATTAATGTTTATTCCTTTAAAAAAAATCAAGTTTATTTTTCAATTTCTACTTTTATTTTTTTAATGCTATCATTCTGGGAAAAAAAAAGTTTTATATTATTAAGACAGACAAAATTGATCTTAACAAGAAGATCACCACAATTCATTTGATGGTTTGGAACATCTTGTGCTAAGTGTTAGTGTCCCTTCATGAATTGAATTTTTGACTATTAGAAAAAAGTAAATAATAATAATAATAAGAAAAATAATAATAATACTCATGGAATTAATCTGCAAGTTGGCCAGTCTAATATTAATCAATGCTGAAATTTGAAATAAATGATCCTGATAAAAAATAAAAAAAAAGTAACATCTTACTTGACCCTACTACAACCTACACACGTTGTAAGGTTTTAAAAAGTAGGGTTACTTTATTGGCTAAGGTGACCTATATTCATCACTTTTTATATATTAGAATCTAGACTCTAGAGTTTCATAGCAAATTGATTAATATAATAGGGAATGTCTAAACTTAGAATTGTGGAAATGAAGGTCAGGATGGATACTTGTTAGGTAATTCATGGTGGCCCATATTTTTAGTTATTAGATTAATTTTATTTATAAGTTTTATGTTGTATATTTTTGTATTTAATTATTTTTTGTTCAACTTTTTCTCTCACCTAAATAATGATTTGAATTTAACGGTAAAGTTACATATTGATTAAAGTTCGATATGTTAAATAGTATATAATTAAAAGTGACTTACCTATTTAATGTCTTAAGATTTTAAGATATATTATAGTGTTAAATTCACTCATATGATTTACTCATTACCTACTGTGCGAAATGTTCATTAGTGTAAAACTCTTTAATAGTGATATCAAAATTGATGATTCAACCAAGTGATTGATGATTGACTCAAACAAGTATTGACCAATAGAATTAGTAATGAATCTAAAAGTAGGATTGCAGAATTGTCAAGAGTTTCAAGAGGGAATCATGACTTGCATTGAAGTCTCTATAAAGATGCGGAGGAAGTGTCTTGTTGATATGCAACAATGGTACAATTAAATTACCATTCAATACTTGTGGATGAAAAAGACATCCGCTTGAAGGGATGCATGACCATGAGAAAAAGACTCGCATTTGAGAGAGAGTATTGAAATTCAAGTGTGAAGTGAATCTCACATTAATTGGAGTTGGATATGTTGACTAATATATAAATAAAAAAGACACATCTATCTAATGCTTTAAAATTTTCGATTATATAACGATGACAAAAATTTAATTATATGATTTACTCATTTTTATTATACAAAATACTCTTTGATGTAAAACTCTCTAGCAACAATTTCCACCGGCCACATGGCGATGCCAACCACCACCATTTGGTGTAATCAACAAACACCGTTTACCACCATTAATAATCATCATTCACCGTCATCAAACATTGTTTGTTGTTGCTTACCACTGTTCATACCATGATCATGGTACAGCAAGGAGAACTCACATGTCAAACAAACAACGTCGTTGGGAATATATAAGAGGCATGCAAAGTTGTTGTGGTGTTAGATGAGGTAGTAGGACTACAACTGAGAACTGATTTGGGGGGAGTGTCACTAAAGGCATTGGATCAGGAATCACAGATTTGGAAGTTGTCACACAGTGTCTATTTGATTTGTTGTGAGAAAGATGCTACATGTCTTATTTGAAATATCTTCAACTATTTCATTGAACGATCATGACAAAAATTATCAATCAACAGCCGTAAATTCATAATAATAATTTTTGAACAATTTTGATTTATTAATGTTGGTGCCCAGCATTCCTCAATTGGCAAAACCATATTTTCTAAGGGAGGTGGCTAAAGGGTGAGGGTGACCCCAGAGAGAAAATTTTGATGGACTAAATGTAGGATATTAAATATAAGATTGATTGATTTAATAGTTAAAATATATTGTCCAACATGAATCACTTCTGTAAAAAAAAAAAAAAAAAAAGAGAGTTTATTTTATTATCTCTTTCTTAGAGTTATTTTACATTTTGTTACTTAAACTTTAAAAAATATGCAATTCAATGTCCTTCAATATTTGACAAATAAATTTAAAAATGGACCAATTGCTCAATTTGACTTATGTAACAATTTTCCCTCTATTTAAATTATATAACAAATTTAGCAACTGACATATTCAATTGCAAACCATAACATAGCAACGACGACGAAAGCATGAGTCACAAATTATTATTTCATTATTATTTTTTTTTGCCATTGATTTGGCGATGGTTTTGCTTAAAATCTTTTGTGACCAACATATTGGCACAAATCCCGTCGCTACCAACTTTAATTATATTTTGTGCAAAAATTTCAAAGTGTCGCCAAATCGGTGTCTAATTCTAATATTTGATGTTTTCTTTTAGTCCCACGATCAGGTTGCTAATGCACCTATTTCTTGTACTTAAACGAATCATCTATGTTAGTAGAGCGGTTAAATATATTTTTAATTTTTTAAATTTAAAGTAAATTTATTTTTAATTTTTAAATTTGAAATTGATATTTTTATTCCTATAATTTTAAAAAAATTGTTTTAATCTTTATAATTAAATTTTGTTAAAAAATATATTATATATAATGTATTAAATATACATATTAATATTAACGTTCCTATTAGTGAAAACATCACATTAAATTCAACTATCACAATTTGTCATTTTTAGATATATATTACAAAAATTAAAAATAAGTTTTAAATTTAATATTTCAAAAATATGGTTCAATGATTGAGAGGATGGCAACAAAAGTGAGTTATTGGTAGCAATAGAGAAGAAGACATTGCATTTACCAATCCATAAGACACGGATTATTGACCACTTCCTAGCTATCTTCTCTGAAGAACGTGTTAGGATACGAATCCATTCAACTAATTATTTTGTGAAGCTTTGAGACACATGACGTAAAGATTAATTATATTTTTAGTGTTAATTAAAGGACACTTTTGATACTTGTTTTCTTCCATTTAGATAAGCTTTTCCTACATATATAAATTATAGTTTTTCTTATTTAAAACTAACCTTTAATTTATGAGTTTATACTGATTTTTCTCTATTTAGAAAACAAAACAAAATAAGGAAGTAGATACCATGAAGACACACACTAGTGTCTTATGTAGGTACATGTTCATACGCTGCAAGCAATCGACGTAATTAAAATGGAAAGAAAAATGAAATTAAGAGGCTCCACAACATAGGACCCTATTCAATGATCCTCTACGTACTCTTATTTATTTTATTCAAATATGCCAAAAGTTCATGACTCACGTACTTATATAATATTCTAATTTGGTAAAATTGATATGTCTAGACTTGATTTCTGTCTGTCTTATATATACTCGAATGTAAAATAATAAGAATTTTCTGTTCTACTAAAGGAAAAGTTGAATAGTATGAACATAATTTCAATTTTATTATTGTTATTATAATTTTTATGAATAAAAAAATTGCAAAAAAATAACAAGCGAGCTTGATAAATAAAGCATATAAGCATGGATTTGACCTTGAATCATTATTAGCTTAGGGTTTAATCATTATTAGTTCAAATTAAATTAAGCATAAACATAACCCTAAATTTCTATTTTATAAGCAAGGAAATATAATCTGAAACATGCAAGTTTCCATGCATTGCACGAATTTTTTAATATAAGTAAATTTTATAAATAAAAACAAAGTAAAGAAAATAATATTTATTTTCATTATTAATAAGAAATACCAAAATAAGAATTTTAAAATAACAGAAACTTATAAAATTAAAATATTTGGACCAAAACAAATCACCCTTATTATTAATGGTGTACTTAATTTTTAAATTTTAATTTAATTAGGATTAATTAAGATTATAATAAACTTAAAACTTAGTATATATCTCAAAACGAAAGATATCTTTATATATTATATAGTGTATCGATATTTAAATTTTAGATTGAAATTAATGTTTGCTAATATTATTTAAATTACCAAAAAAAATATTATATGTAATAAAATAAAATAATTTATACAAAAAATTACATGGTTTAACAAGATAAAGAAAATCCTATAATTATTCTTTTTAAGAATAAAATTTTAAGTTCCTAGCTCATAAAAAAAAAAGTTTTCTGAAGATAATGCTATTTTTCCCCGAACACAGAGAAACCAAATCTGCATGGGATACCGTAATCAATCTGGCAATGGAGGCTGGACTGAACAAAACAATATTGATATTTTGATAAGCTTCCTTTGCTATTTTTGAAACATTAGAAAGGGTTAGATATGTCATAAACTTTATGTAGATTCGTTTATATATAAAATGAAGTCGCCTACATATATCTTTCCTTTCCCATTCTTTTATTCTTTTGATCTATGACTTGTTAATTTAGATCAAATATCTGGCCAAATTGTGTTGAAATTCATACTTGACACCTTCAACCTATTATAATATGATTGGTTTTAAATATTTCTTATATATGATTGAGTGAAGCACAATCTGACTAGGAAATCGCGTATTCAATTGACATTCTCACACTTTCAAGGTTAGAACTTAGAAATTAATTATGATGACAAATTAAGAATAAGTAAGCACATAAAATAAATGGTAAATTTTGGTTTATTTTTTAAAATAATTTCTAACATTATTTATTAACGACAATTCAAGGAAAGTGAAAAGAAAATGAGTAGAAAGTAGTTAAGATGATTTGTTAGATTATTTGATACAAAAGAAAATGAAAGGGAATTTTTTTTATTTTTTTTATTTTTTTTTATATAAAGAGGCATACCTCTTTTTTTTTTTATAGATTTGACCTGTAAAGTGATACTTTTAGTCGTGACTTTAAGATTAAGACAAAAATCAAACTTCAGTCTTTGATTAAAAAATACAAGTGTCAAACCTTGAGCTATCAAATTTTAACTTAATAAATTTCCTTATTCTTATTTAGTTGTGTAGAAAATGGAAAAAAAAAAAGAAGAAGAAGAAAAATATGTATAAAATAACATAAATATCCTAAATAAAAAAGTAATATAATTAATGATATTATTGCAAGAAATTATTCTTAAACATAAACCAACAAAGTAACTAATTTATTTTCTTTTATGCTTTTGATTTTGACTTATAGCGGCCTGTCATCATTACTACACTCAACGTATCAACAATTGATCGTAGAAATAACTAATTATCTATAATTAATATAATCATAATAATTGAATATGTGCATCATTATATATATAAATATATATATAATTATAACCAAAAATAAAATAACTATACAAGTATATATAAATATATGTACAGTAATTCAACATTGTAAAATATAAACTTTAAGTTGTCGCTCAAATAACTTTAACAAAACTAGCACCAAGAGTAGTCTCAAGTTACACGCCATAAAAATTACAACAATTTAGCCTAAACAACTTGACCTCTGTTCATTAAAAATATCATAACTTGAGTTATAAATATCTTCTTCAGGTGATTACAAAGTCATTGGCAAGCTAACATCTAAGGCTACAATATTCATAAAGATCACAAAACCTAATTTGGTCATCTACTATTTGTTGAGCTAACAGTATCTCACTGAGTGAGCTGAACTTTTTGGAGCTCCCCGTTGAGCAAATTGATTTCTAGCTGAGCTTTTGGGAACTCATTGTTGAGTGACCAATACTCACTGTTGAGCAAAAATATGAGGAATGGGTTTATGTTCTTCATTTGTGCATGAACGCTAAAAAAACCATACACTTTTAGCTGAGCGAGAATACAATGTTCTTCCATGGAAATCACATTCTCTCAACAAAATCTAGTTACCCACATCAAATACAACACAGACAATCCATGGTTTCTTTTTCTCTATACCTCATACAACTCAAAACACCTATAAAACATCACATACACCACTACAAACTCAAGATCATCAACCCATATTCATCCTTAGAAAACTCAACAACATAAAATTATGCATTCCCAACTTAAATGTCACCAATGGGCCAAACAACACACAAATCAACACATGCAACACTAATAAGTCAATCTACAAGTTTCTCTTATCTTCGAATTAAAGAGAAACAAGGAAGAAAAAAGTGGATGAATGCTTCAAGCTACTCTGCAAAACCACCAAAAACTACTCTCATTCTTGACTCTGAACTTAAATCACAAAACAACTACCAAGAAAAGATTTGAAAAATCACAAAAGAGAAAATGATTCTCCTTGAGGCTTAGAACTCTTCTCTCTAAAATTCTAGAGTTATAAATTTATGAAATTCATTTATCAAAATTCACCTTATATACATCATCTTTTTTAATCAATTTTCATACACTTAAACTATATCCTTTATAATTTTAATCTAGGATTATCACAACTTTAACTTCCATTCCATTAAAATTACAAAAATAAAACAACATAAAATTTAATTTTTAATTATATATATTTCAAATATATATTATTAAGAAAGAACATTGTGTTACATGACTAGTTTCAGGAAAAAGAAAAAAAAACGGCTCGAGGCATACAAACATGTGCTTTTACTTTTGGTTTACCCGGAGAGACGATTAATTCAATCAAATAATCATAGTTCATGACTCAGACACCGACATCAAGAGCAGGTATATTTGTTGTACTCCGTACAATTTTTTTGGTACAGAATTATTTAACACTAACGATATTCATAAATTTGCCTAGTATTTTTTTTTTCTTTCTTGTTTCATGTTTCTGGGTAAATTTTTTCATTTTTGTCCACTTCATGTATCTTTAATTAATATTACATCACTTATCATATTTTTATTTTTCTTCTCTTATCTCACATTAGAGTATATATTCAATGAGCGTATACGCACTCTATTCTTCTTATATATCTTATATTGTTTCTTTTACCTTCGATTCTAAATTAATTTCTCAAAACCATAAACCTGTTTGCATGTATAACTTTTGCTATACATTCACTGAACTTTACACAACAAAATTTCATGAGATGATATAAATTCTGTGCAAAAGACATTAAAAAAATACTGTGGTTAATCCTTTTCGTTTTTGCAATTAAAGATAATCATTAGCCAAAACGCAAACTGAAAAAACTGTACCCTCACAAACTACACCCTCCTGGTGTAGAAAGATAAAAAAAAGAAAGAAGAAATGTATGTAATAAATAATGTAGTATATAACATCGAAAAATAAAGTAAAAGAAAAACAAATGCTTAATACATATAATTAAGGAAAATGATGCACAAACACTAATTAATATGAGTTGTATTAAAATAATATTAAAAAAATATTATAATAAGTTTTACATCATTTTGCTTGTAAATGATGTGCACAACTAAAAAATATTTATGTAATGTAAGTAATTTTCTTATGTTATACAATAATTAAATTTATGCTTCATTTAAGATCAACTTAATGAAAAGAAGTTCTATTTTTTATTAAAAAAATCTTTATAACTAGTATCCTTAGGACACTAATTAAAAAAATCAATAAATAGAAAATTTTCCTTAAAATTATAATAAAATTAGAAAAAAAAATTGTACAAATATATTTTTCAATAAAATATTTTTTCTTTTACTTCGGTAAACACATTATTAATTAACATTTTCTTTGAAAAAAAAAAGAGTCCACATATGTTGTAAAAAAAGTGTCCACATGTTGTTACTAAGTAATTAAATATAATTTGTCGACAGAAGAGAACACATTTCTAACGGCACGCATTTACATGCATGTGCTCAATCATTGTAAACCCAAAACCATGGAAATATGGAATGGATTCTAAAAGTTGCAGCCTAGTATGACAAACATATTATATTTGATGTATAGCTTGCTATTGCCCCATCCAAGTAGGAACCACGTAAGGCAAGATGAATAAACAAAGGGCAATCATACACTTCCCTTGCAACTTGTTTACCAACAACTTGGACCTTCTAATCCCTTCCTCTAAGGAAATTAAAGGCTCTAAGATTGGCCTCTTGTACCATCCACATCGATGACAGCTACATGCCCACGTGCCCTTTACATATTGTTTTAATTAGGACATATTTCAACCACTATCAAATTGTTATTAGATAATATATATGTAGATATTTAATCATCTAAATTTCACATTCGAGATATATATTCTAAAATGATAAATGTGTTAAAGATTTTAGATTGACTAATAATATATCTATAATAATTGTACGATTGAGTTAACTTAAGTTTATTTTCTTAAGACATATCTATAATTTGACAGCTTGTCAGCTTTACCATACCATGCCCTTAATTCCCTCTATTTCTCAATGAACAGTATCAGGACAACATTGGAAACATGTGTCCAAAATTCTGCTGTGCTACATGCAATATAAATACGCTCCAACACACCATGCTTTTGCATGTTCTCCTTTCACAACATAATATCGCTCTCTAAATTCTTTTGTTGACACCGTCTTTTTGAGGCCATTGTTTCTAGTTTTAAGAAAATGGCAATTGAGCAACACAAGGATGTAGAGAGTGGAGAAGCCAATAATGGTCTTCAGTGTTTGCAAGAACCCTTCATTCAACCAGAGGAGGCTGCTTATGAAGCAGATAAAAATGTGGAAAATGGATCCATTGGAATGGTTTTGCTTAGCACGCTTGTTGCTGTTTGTGGTTCTTTCACATTTGGAACTTGTGTAAGTATCTTTAAGCACAATAACATTATAATTGGCACACGGTCTACGTTGGCTTGTATGTTTTAGTGACAAAATTGTGGCAACTGAAAATAAAAAAAACAAGTGACATTTCTGAAAATACAGTTCACTAAATGTACTCATTTTCTTGGTCAGGAACCCAACCAAAAAACACAAAAATAAACAAATATAAGTTTAAATGTTTATTAGCTGAAGTTATTATTTTGGCAGGTGGGCTATTCAGCACCCACTCAAGCTGCTATCAGGGCAGATCTTAATCTATCCCTCGCCGAGGTTAGTATTCTAATTTCTAATGTTCCCTTCTCATTGATATTTATATACTAATTTCTGTTCTGATTTTTTTATTTGGGATTGGTAGTTTTCCTTGTTTGGTTCTTTAGTGACCATTGGTGCAATGCTTGGGGCTATAACCAGTGGCAGGATTACGGATTTCATTGGCCGGAAAGGGGTATGTGAAATCTAAATGTCTAATAAATAAGTCTTGTGTTGAAGTTATTTTAACATTATCTTCGGCTTTAAAGTGGTTGTGCCTATACAATGTCTACTCTAGAATTGCTATATGTTTTGAACCGTGTATTATGGTTTTTCCATGTTAATAAGTATTACTTTCCATGGGAAACAGGCAATGAGGATTTCAACAGGATTTTGCATTACAGGGTGGTTAGCTGTCTTTTTCTCAAAGGTATTCATATTCTGCACAATATGTGTTCAAACTTCATACTAATAGAATTTATTGAAAAATATAATGTAAAATAGTTTTATTTGTTGAATTTTAAAATAATTACTTTAAAAGTTACATTAATGATGATTTCTGATCGATTGATATCGTAAAATTGTACACTTATTGTCCATGACTATTAGACCCAAATACTAGAAAATAGGTTCAATTATGCTATTCTATCTACTGCAGGGCTCTTCCTCACTTGACTTGGGAAGGTTTTGCACAGGGTATGGCATTGGAGTTATCTCATACGTGGTATGTGGTATCTAATTTTCAAAACCACAAACTTTTATTTATATTCATTCATGAAGTTTAGGCACGTGTCATCTAACTTAAATAGTTATATATATATATATAAAATGAATTCACTTATTTCAAAAACTTATTTCACTTAATAATTAATATTTTATATTAAATTTCAATGATCTAAAACTGTTAAATTAAAAATATTTAATATATAAAAAGTTTATAAATTTTTAAAAAATTTAAAAATTATTTAATATTTTATTTCACTAATACAAATCAACGTACAAAATGTTTTAGAATAATTCATCAATTTGAATTAATAAATCGGAGTATCACATAATTTTCAAAATTTTTAAAATTATGCAAACTTAATTTATATATTAAGAATTTTTAATTTAATGGTTAAATAGTTAAAATTTGATGTAGAATATGAATTATTGAGTGAAGTAAGTCTAAGTAGACTAACTCGATCTTCCTCTCTATATATATATAAATTTTGCTTCTTCACTATAATTTATCTAACAAAAATCAGTAAAATGGAACAGGTTCCCGTATATATAGCAGAAATAGCACCCAAAAATCTTCGAGGAGGACTTGCAACAACAAATCAGGTGAGGGAGTATTAAGAATTATTTTGTATTCTGTTCTTTGATTAACATTAAAAGTTAAGAGTCTGTTTAGATTCATATTTTGAAGAGCTTCTGATGAGAGCTTTTTTTTACTGAAAACAATGAGCACTTTTCGGTAAAGAGACTCTCAAAAACTTATTTTCCAAACGGACTCTAAGCATCATTTAGTTGAATTTAGACTGAGTCATTGATTGTTTTGCAGCTTTTGATTGTTACTGGAGCGTCAGTCTCATTCTTAATAGGAAGTGTCATAAACTGGAGAGAACTTGCACTAGCTGGTAAGTACAATATAACATTAGGTTTTAAATATAGCCTATGGTGTAACAAATTATGAGTAGAAAGGTATAACTGTTGTCTTGGTTTGAACTTTGAAGGGCTAGTGCCTTGCATTTGCTTGCTGGTTGGTTTGTGCTTTATCCCCGAGTCCCCCAGATGGCTGGTAAGCATTATTCATTTAGAATCTAAGAACCAAATGTATAAGAAAAATATTGCAATGAAAGTTACTAAACTATATATATGTATGTATTTTTTTAGGCAAAGGTTGGCCGTGAAAAAGAATTTCAACTAGCTTTAAGGAGACTTAGGGGTAAAGATGTAGATATTTCTTATGAAGCTGCTGAAATTCTGGTACTTCCAAGCTCTTTTAACTGATTGAAAACCTTCAAAGAAATTTCCAAACAATTTGACATGTTTGATGAGTTGATCTGACTTATTTTGTGATAAATAGGATTCTATTGAAACTCTTCAAAGCCTTCCTAAGACTAAGCTGTTGGATTTGTTCCAAAGCAAATATGTGCGCTCTGTAGTTGTGAGTAACACACTTCTCTAGCAGAAATTCAATGACAATGTTACATAATTACTCAAAGGATCTAAATTATTTGTTTGTCACAATTTCAGATTGGAGTCGGGTTAATGGTATGTCAACAATCTATTGGAATTAATGGCATAGGATTCTATACAGGCGAGACTTTTGTAGCAGCTGGTAAGTGAGAAGAAATTCATAGTGATTATGGAAAATCAAAAGATACATGTTTCTACTGTTTGTCATATTTTAATAAATAAGTAAAATATATATATATATATATATATATATATATATATATATATCAACAGTGATATCTGATTAGTTGATAGGGTAAAATTACTTTATATTATCAATATATGACCATTAAACTCTTTTAATATTATAAGTGTTGAATTTGCAGGACTTTCTTCAGGAAAAGCGGGCACCATAGCATATGCTTGTATGCAGGTAGTTGATCATTCTACTGATTTCTCATAGGTTAATCATGTGCTACATTATTCTATTTGAACTTGATCTGATACAATGAATGACAGGTCCCATTTACTGCATTGGGAGCCATTTTGATGGATAAGTCTGGAAGAAAACCTCTTACAATGGTAAATTTATTTGCAAGCAATTATTTATCAAGGCCAACTAAAAAAAATGGAATAAAAATTTGATGCTTAACAAAAATCCTTGTAAACATGCAGATTTCCGCAACTGGGACATTCTTAGGTTGTTTTGTTGCCGGAATTGCTTTCTTTCTCAAGGCAAGTTTTCAGTATAAAATGTATATTTTGGATGAAATTTAGGTATAGATACTATTGATATTGTTTTCCAATAAGATTGAAGTTTCACTTTGGTAATATGTGTATAATAAAGGATTCATTAAATATAAAAAACTAATTACCAAAGTAAAATTTCAATTTTGTTTAGAGGATATTACCAATCATACATATGTTCTTGTACTTCAGTTTTGTCCTGATGTTTTCTCCATACATTGTGTATGTGTGTGTCTTTATTCTAAAATTCGTCTTTACGACTTAATGGATCAGGACCAAAGTTTATTGCTTGAGTGGGTACCTACCTTAGCGGTTGCTGGTGTGTTGGTGAGTTTTCTTATGCAATATTTATCCCCCTTATTTTTCTCTCAAATTCTAGTTTGACCTGAGGTTCTCCTATCTTCTGAATCTTACTGTGATCAGATCTACATAGCAGCATTTTCAATTGGAATGGGACCAGTTCCATGGGTGATAATGTCTGAGGTATGTATCATTTGTCAGCAAAATTTATAATGTTATATATAGCTAAAGAAAAGCTTGTCAACATTGAAATGGTAGCTATCAATATTTGTTTAAAAAAAAGTTCTTTGTAAGTGATGTAACATTTCAAGCTACTACTTATGAAGGGTTATTTATCTAAAACTATTTTTCATATTTCAGATCTTTCCCATTCATTTGAAGGGAACTGCTGGAAGCTTGGTGGTTTTGGTGTCTTGGTTAGGAGCTTGGATAGTTTCATATACTTTCAACTTTCTTATGAGCTGGAGTTCTCCTGGTAAGCACGTAATAGAATTATAGAAAGAAACACAGATAATCTGACTATAGTTAGTGAAATGTGCTAATATTGTTTTTTTGGGGCAGGTACTTTTTTCTTGTATGCTGGATGTTCCCTCTCAACTATTCTATTTGTAGCAAAACTAGTCCCAGAAACCAAAGGAAAAACTTTGGAAGAGATCCAGGCTTGCATTAGTTCATAGAGAAAATATCGAAATAATGGAGTTCATTAATTCAACATCTTAATCATCTATTTGAAGTGGAGAGTTCAAGCAAAAAAGCAGAGAAGGACCATGCAAAATCATTATTCATTAGCATCATTTATCAAATTCTTTTAGATCCATTTAGGACCTTCAAGGCATAAAATAACAGAAGTTGCCATATTCATTTTTTTATCCATAAAAATAATAATAACAACGTATTATTAGCTTATTTGATAAGAAAAATAATATACATTCTGTAACACTCTGCCTCTGCCTCTTCTAATTTTCTTTAATGGATTTGTTGTTTAGTATACAAAAAATAATCCACCTGTGGCTGTACGTAGCTTCTTCAGGTTGTGACTAAAAATGCTTTTGGAAAAATTCACCTAAGCTTCTTGATGAGTAGCTCGAACTTCGAACAGGTGGATAGAGACGTGTTGAGGTTCTAATATAAGGAAGAAGGCTATGACATTTTACGGATTAAAAATAAATAAATTATGTGAAAACTTGCGTTTTTTTTCTACTTGTCGCATAACTGGTATGAAAATTAAAAATCCTGTTTGGTAGTGGGACGAAATAGGAAGGGGAAAAATATAATGGACATGATATATTTCTGTACGTTTGTTTTAGAGGAAAAATAAGACAGAGGGAAAATAATTTTTCAAATTCATCATGAAACATTTTTTCCTTATGGGAGGGATTCATTTATTAAGAGGGTAAGTTTATCTAAACTTATTTCATTCAATAACTCATATTCTACATTAAATTTTAACAATCTAACCATTGAAATTTAAAGTTTTTAAACCATAAATCAAGTCTGTAAATTTTTAAAAAAATTTAAAATTATTTGATATTTTATTTTATTAATTCAAATAATCATATAAAATGATTTTATGTGTGTGTAATTTTTACCAACTATTACAAAATTTAATAACTTTTAATTAAATGTGAATATTTCAAAACTTATCATTAAATTCAAAATTCCTTACTTCTAGATTATATATACAAAATTTTATATTAATCAAATATGATTTGATACATCATTCTTATAGAAAAAATTGATGTATATAATACATTTCAAAATATACTAAAATATAAATACTTTTTTTATCTTTAAATTGTTGTTTAATTTTAACAAAATTTGATATACACATACAAGAAGATATGAAGTTATAATTTAACGATCGAATCGACAAAATTCACATTTAATTGAAAGTTATTAAGTAATGTAATCATCGGTAATATATATGAGCCAGGATTCGTTAATACTAGATGTAAGTCTAAAAAACTTGCACTAAATCTTATATTTTTAATAACTTTTTGTGAAATGTAAATTTAATCTATCTAACTATTAAATTATGTGATATTATACTCAAGATTATATATCAAATTTCACATGATTTGAAATAATACATTTAACTAACAAGTATTTTATGAGTATTATTAAATAGAGGAAAAATTAAATGATATCGATATAATTTTTATCAATTATTATACCGTTTAATAATTTCATATATTATGTAATTTTTTTATCTAAGCATTTAATTATAACTTTATATCACATTTTTGTATGTTTATGTCAATTTTTTTTTAAATTGAACAACAATTTAAAGGTAATCAAATTATTCATATTTTAGTATGTTTTAAAATATATATTACATCAATTTTGATCTATATGAATGAGGTATCAAATCATCTTAAAGTAATATCAATTTTTTTATATATAATTTAAAAGTGAAGAACTTTCAATCCAAATGATAAGTTTTAAAAAATCACATATAATATAAAATTATTGAACAGTTTAATAATTGATAAAAGTTAATTTAACATCATATCCCTCCCTTATTAAATAAAATTATTATACTTTATTAATTCTTTTTACTTAAAAATAAAGATTAAATGTTTCATATTTTAACACATTTATTTGTAATTAACTAGTATTCTAACTTGTACAATGTACATGTTAAATATTTATTATATATAACTAAAATTTATAATAAGTTATATATACAAATAAATACTATGTTTGAATATATAAATCATATTTAAAATTTGTATAAAGATATATTTTTAAACATATACTTTTCTATGTTTTTGACAACAACATATAAACTATATTTTAGATTTATGATAAATAATTTATATGGTAGTGTAATATTATTTTTATTTATTTATGATTTATTTTAAAATATTAAAATTTAACTCATAAATAATTGTGATAATTAAAAATTGAATTAGATAAAAGTTTTAAAAAGTCTCTAAAAACTCTATCATCAAAGAAAAATTCTTAAAAATATTCCTTTATGATATAGCGGTTCATGTTTAATATATATGAGTTGATGGGTTGATTATTTTCTAATTAAAATATTTTTATAATACCTCATTTTACTATTTTAAAAAATATTAATTTAAAATCAAAATATTTAATACGTTATCCATTTAGAAGAATATGCATTTAATAAGTATTATCTAATTGAGAAAGATATGTTTTATAATATATCATTTTAATATTTTATAAAAAAAAATTGATTTAAAGATAAAATATTTAATACTTTCTCCGTTTAGAAGAATATTATAATCTATTTATTAAATATTTTATAATTTCTAAGTTGTCTTTTAATACTATTAATCATTTAAATATTTATAAAAAATATTAATTTTAAAATAAAATAACGAATATCTAAAAAATGTTTAATATTTTCTTCGTTTAGAAAATATACCGTATGGTGGCCGACCCGTCCGAATACCCGAGATCGTGACTTAGACCGAATACCCGAACCCGCCGATCACTCCCCAGATAGGGCGAAACGTGTCGGCGGGGCTGGGCCGGGGGAACTTGCTCACTGGCCTTCGCATCTTTCGCCCTCTTCCCGAGCATAGCGGTCACGTCTAGCTTACCTCCGGCCATTAAACCTGCAACAAAGTAAATCTTAACAGGAATTTAAAAACTGATTAAGCAACCGAATCTTAGCACGCATACCTAGCAAGGCCATCTCAAAATGAGACGTTTCAAATATGTCCAAAAGGCCTCGGACAGGCAGGCCTTTCGGCAGCTGGTCTAATAGGTCCACAATTTCCTTATGCTCGGCAGGGAGTTTAGACGCGGGCATCGCTTCGTAACGCGTCGGGCGCTTCGTCCAATAAAAGGGAAATAGTGGGGCGCCTTCTTGGTCATAAAAACAAATCTTCATCTCCGACCCCCAGCGAACCTTGAAGAACCCATTCTTAAACCCTTTATAAGAGGAGGTGAAGGCTCGGAGAAACCCTCGCTTCGGCACCCGAGACAACGACACCCACTTCACCGGCTTGCTCGGACGACAGGTATAATAATAGAGAAAAGCCAGGGGTCGGGGGGTTAGACCCAAACACAAGCATAGATTCCGAAACGCTTGCATCGCGGCCCACGCATTCGGATGCAACTGAGTCGGGGCCACGTTGAGCACTCGAAGAACCCCCATTTGAAAATCGTCAAAGGGTAGCTGAACACCGAGGTCTACGAACCAGCACATTTAGGCGTAGAAGTAGTCGTCCTCATCGTTCCCCGACTCCAAAAATACAAAGTCAGTCTCCGGCCCGTCATCCATACATGCCTCGGCAAGTAGCGAAAACTGGTCCTCCCCACTCCCGAAACAGTTTTCCAAAGACACAAATGTGTCTAACAATCCTTGGTCGGACAACTTCAAAAGATAAATGTCGACCTCCCCGTCGACCCACTCATAACCAGGCAGTTCCACAGTTCCATAGTCGATCCGTGCCCTGACCCCAGTACTCGGTCCGACAACTCTCTTGCCTCGTGCATCGCCGACCACCTCCAGTTCATCCCCGCTTACGTCAACTCGCAACGCATGTGGGTTTGGTTGACCAACTCGATCTACACCTCGGTCATCCACCTCGGTTGCTCGTGCCAAGGCCACGGCCAACGTCGTTGGAGGCGACACCTCGACCACCTCATCCCCGTTGTCCTCTTGTTCGGGATGCTCGGAAGGGAAGACAACTTCGCACTGCAGCAGGGGTAACCTTGATATTTCACTTGAAGCCGACCCCTCTTTATCTGATGAAGCACCAGACGCCTCCGAAGACGTCCAACTGCTAGCCGAAATTTAGCCTTTATCCATTTATTGCTAAAATTAAAAAATACAAAATTTTACCTTGCTCTGGTTGTTCGGAAGAATGTAATCTCGAGAGAGTTCGGAAAATTTACAGCGCGTAAATTTTCACGTCCAACCCCCCCTATTTATAGGCAAGGTAAATGGGGGAGGTGAAAAGACGCCCTCGAGCCTCGACTGTTCGATCTATATCATCCAACGGCCTAGATTTAGTAACCGTTGGGCCTGTAACCGCTACAGCCAACGTGGTAGGCCACACCAACCGAGGTCTCGGGGTAAATCCCAATTATTCGAAGCCCCGACGCAAGCTCTCGCGTCCAAGTTCTCGGCTTAACCTCATGGTTAAGGTCTCGGCCTAGACCGCCTGCAAAAAGCCTCGACTTGACTTCACATGGTTAAGGTCTCGGCCTAGACATTGCCTGGAAACGACCCCGGCTTAACCTCATAGTTAAGGCCTCGGCCTGGACCGCCCGCAAAAAGCCTCGACTTGACCTCACATGGTTAAGGTCTCGGCCTAGACATCGCCCGGAAAAGGCCCCGGCTTAACCTCATGGTTAAGGCCTCGGCCTAGACCGCCCGCAAAAGGCCTCGGCTTGGCCTCACATGGCTAAGGCCAAAGGCCTCGGCTTAACCTCATGGTTAAGGTCATGGCCCAAGCATCATCCAGACAAGGCCTCGAGATACACCTACGCAACCCTCATTCTCCAACACCGGACACCACGCCACCATGTTTTTTATACCGTCTTCATCTTTTCTCATCCTCGACGCTGCGGGGGTTGTATACCGTATGGTGGCCGACCCGTCTGAATACCCGAGACCGTTACTTAGACCGAATACCCGAACCCGCTGATCACTCCCCAGATGGGGCGAAACGTGTCGGCAGGGTCGGCCGAGTTCGTCACCCTCGTCAAGATGGTTACGGAGAGATTAATTAACATAATGCATAGGATTAGACCCCTAATTTTCTGGGGCCCAGTCCCTAATCACGGCCCAACAAGAACTACTATAAATAGAACCCCAACGAGGTATGTATTTAATTTTTCAACTACCGCATTTATTACGCCGAGCACTTACTTTAGCGTTGGAGTGTCTTTGCAGGCACACCCCCCGCACATCGGACTACCCGGATAGGAACGAGAAGACCGAGACCCAGGATCAGACCCGCTACAACAAGGATAATTAGAGTGTGTATCCTACACAGGAACAGAAAAGTATTACAAGATTAAGAATAAAAATATATGATAGAATAATGTAATATTATTGGGCTAAATTATACTTTTTAGTCATTTATCTTAATTTTAAAATTTATTTTACTTTTTTTATTTTTAAAATATTTATTTTAATATTTTATTTATTTATTTTGAGTCGATTTGATCTCTTTAAAACAATGATTTTTCATTTATATGATTGTAAATCATTTTCTTGACCAATTTAAAACTTAAAACTCATTTTATTAGATTAATTACTTGAAAACTATTGATTACAGATGCAATTCAAATTAAAGTGTGTCATAAACATGGTAAAAATATATATAAAAAATAAGTAAAAAATCATTTTTTTAAAATATTTAATTTCACATTTTTTTTAATTGTTTGTAGGATATATTTTTTACATGATTTTTATTATATTTATAATTTTTTTGATTTAAGCTTTAATTTAATTTTATAATTTTTATATATGTGAATATAATAATATAAGTTTCACATTGAATCAATAAAAAATTGATTCAAAAATATGTGGCAAATTGAAAATATTTGTTTGAAACTAAGTAAATCGATCCAAATATAAAAAATAAAATATTAAAATAAATATTTTAATAAATAAAAAATCAAAATAAATCTAAGAAATAAATTAAGGATAAAAAATATAATTTAATCATATTATTCTTTTATAGTATTTTATTTATAAAAATGTGTTTTATATGTAATCTCTATTTCCATAAAAATTATACTAAAATGGTAAATGTTTTTTTGTGAAGTATTTTTTTTCATAAAGTACAATTAATACATGTGAAACATTTAAAATGTAAGGATAAAGAGAAAATGATTTTTTTATAAGGCATAAAAATATTTCTATATTTATGGGAATAAAAATATATTATCTAATTCGTAAGTGTATAAACCTTAACCAATAACTTAAATAATATAAGAGATGTTATTTCATATTTTCTCTATACATACATATATATAGGATTCAAACAACAATATAAAACTTTTATCAATCATTACATCGTTCAATAACTTTTAATTGAATGTAATTTTTTCAAAACTTATCATTAGATTGAAAATTTTCTACTTGCGAATCATATATACAAAATTTTATATTAATCTAAGATGATATAAAATGTCATTCATATATATCAAAACTTACACTGATATCATTTGATTTCTTGTATATATATGTATGTATGTGTATATATATATATATATTATATTATATATATATATATATATATATATGAGAGATTTATTTAGTCTAAGAGTAAGTTTAACTAAACTTACTTACTCAATAACTCATGTTTTATATCAAATTTATATGATTCAATTATAATGTATAGATCAAGTCTGCAAGTTTTTAAAAAAAATATAAAATTATTTGATATTTTATTTCATTAATTCAAATTGATGGATAATCATAAAAATATTTTATATGTTGATTTGAATTAATAAAACAAAATATAAAATAGTTTTTTAAGTTTTTAAAATTTTGTAGACTTGATCTATGTATTAAGAACTTTTAATTCAATGGTTGGATTATTGAAATTTGATTAATAATATGAGTTATTGAATTCTCTTAAAGTAAGTGAATCTCTCATCTTTCTTTATATGGAGAAAGGTCAAAAGATATTGATACAACTTTTATAAAGTATTATACCAGTCAATAATATTCAATTAAGTGATTATTTTCTTAAACTTATCATTAGATCGAAAGTTTTTTACTCATAAATCATATATACAAAAATATATATTAATTCAAGATGATTTAATACCTTATTCATATTGATCAAAATTGACATGTTATATAGTTCAAAATATACTAAAATATGAATATTTTGATTATTTTTTTTAATTTTAATAAAATTTAGCATAAACATATAAAATAATATAAAGTAACAATTAAATTGATAAAAATCATATTCAATACAAAATTATTAAACTATATAACAATTGTTATTATTTGGTATTTCTCTCAATTTTTTTTGTAAAGATATGAAAGATTACAAAGATGGTCGTAATAAGAATTGAATCTGGGTCTTCATACTTCTAACTACCCTAACTCCTCTCCACCTAAGCCTAATGATTAGGCTAACCTAGTGGTTATTTGGTGTTTCTCTCGTGAGTGGGAATGTATTGTTAATACTATAATTTCTACATTTTAATAATCATGCGGTTTTAAACTTTTAAGCCAACCAAAATGATAGATAATGTAACTTTTACAAGGGTTAGTTAATCTTTCTCATGAATACAATTATACAAAGTTGGAAAAGTTAATATTTTTTACGTTTTATTTTGTTTATTAATTAAAAATAATGTTTTTATAAAATATTAATTTTTGAAAATAGTTTTATGTTTGTCACAAAATTACTTTTATGAAGTAGGTGAAAATCTAAGTTAAATTAAAAATTTTACTCCAATAAAATATATGTTGTCATTATTTTCTTATTTAATACTGTAAAATCTTTGATTGTCAAGTAAAAGAACATAACAATACAATTCTCTTCATACACTCTACTTTATTGATTATAATTTATTTAAATCACAAAATCAGAAGAAAGAATTATTTAATAAAGTATGAGATCCATCAATTTTTATGTTTTTCAATAAATTTTAATAAAAGAATATACTTAAAAGAATATATTAGAGAATCTATTATTAACATCTCTCTTACCAAATAACATACATAAATATTTTTAAAAATATTTATAATCAACCAAATATAATTTATTATTTTTAAAAATCTTAATTCACGAGATTTATAATTCGAAAACATAATTTCAAACATGAAAAATCAAATATCTTAAAATAATTATCATAGAAGTCAGTGAATCGTATGCACAATATGAATAGAACACAGTTTTCTACCAAAAATACAATACCTGTCGATTAAACTCTAATTTCTTCTCTAAAAAATATTACTGTCTTAATCAGTGTTTTATTAGCAAAATCCTTTTTTAATCAGATACTGCATTTAATTAATAGTAATTTAATAAGTAAAGGTTGACGCTGCCTGGGAGTCTGTAACAGCTGCTATGTGAAGTGTACGTATGCAAATTGGGAAGAAACGAAGCAAAGGCAAGGAAACGAAGGGGATTTGACAATTCCAATTTTCCAATATTTTATTTAATATTTCATTCATTTCACTCACAATCACAGCCTTCTTCCCCACAATCACAGGTTACCTTCTTCCATCTTCATTACTCAATCATCTATAAACCCTTTGAGTTTATTTATATTTCAATTTTTACTTCAACTGTTTCATAACTCGCACTGCAGTCATGGTGAATTGAGTTTCATTTGGTGCCCGGATTTTCGTTTTCCTTTTAATTCTCATTATTCGACTAAAGTTTCTTCCTTTTCTATTGAGTTGTTTCGTTATCTTCAATTTTGACACCTACCCTTTTGTTGCACAACCAAAAAGGTCTACTTTATTTCATTTGGTTTGCTTCTTCACAGTGTGAGACTGAAAAGGGGTTCTCTATTGACACTGAATGCTAGTGCTGATACTCATTTTGGGTTTGGAACAGTTCAAAATGATTAGATTCTATGTATATTTTGTGTATTTGGTGTGGGGTTAAAAATTCATGTGGCTCAGGGTTTCTTACCAGAGATGGCGCCTTTTGCAGGATATAGGGAGAATTATGAGTCGGTTGAACAAAAATAAAAGTACTTGTAGTGATGGTGGTGCTAGTAATGAATCCAGTGCAAGTGGAAAAGCTGGAGAAAGGGTTAGTCATCTTGATCATGAAATTGCGCAGCTCACAAGGCTTAGGTCAAGTCCCCATGAGCTTTTGGGTCGCGTTGTTCCTGGTAGGATGAGGTTACCTGCATCTACTGTGAGAATGATAGTTGCTAGAGAAGGTAATTATTCTGGAAGAGGGAGATTTTCATCAGCAGATGGATGTCATGTTTTAAGCCGCTATTTGCCTACCAAAGGTCCTTGGATTGTGGACAGGATGAAAAGTCGTGCCTATGTTTCACAATTTTCTGCTGATGGTTCTCTTTTTATCGCTGGATTCCAGGTTATTACTATTATCATTGTATGTTGTCGAAGTTAGTGTGTACATAAATTATGTATGAAGCTGAAGGTGATTTTGTTAAATTGAAGAGTTTTGTACAAGTACAAAAAGGGTCTTTAGATCTTCACTTTTAATTGTTTGTGCTCTGTTATAAAACAGGGAAGCCACATCAGGGTCTATGATGTTGACCGGGGCTGGAAAGTTAAAAAGGACATTTCTGCTAGAAACTTACGGTGGACAATTACTGATACATCTCTCTCACCAGATCAGCTCTATCTTGTAAGTTTGAGTTGATTGCCAATGGTGGCAGCATTCATGGACATTACTAGGATTAAGAATTTGCTGTTATAAATAACCAATTTTGATCATGGCCTGTGAATGTGAATCTTATACAAGTCTGTGCTATTTACCTCTTTGTTTCTTGTAACTTCTTGCAACTCTAATTTGACAAATTGTTAATTATTGCAGGTTTATGCCAGTATGTCACCAGTTATCTATATTGTCACAGTGGGATCTGGTACAACAGAGTCAATAGCTAATGTTACAGTATGTATCGGAAATTTCTTACTCATTCACAATAGCCCGTAACATATAGTTTCCTAGCTTATTATAATATTGTAGAGGAGTAAGCAGATATTACATTTACAGTTTTTTTTTTCTTAGTTGTGTGAAACTTGTATTATTTGCAATTATTGTAGTCTGAGTTATCCTTGTATGTTACTAGTGGATAATGAAAAAGTTGACTCCTTATTCCAAGCAATTCGAATCTTTAAAGTAATGAAATGGTTTTCACATTGTCATGGAAATGCTCCTACTACTGTTGAATTGTAGGTCACTGGATGAGGTCAGTCTAACCTCACATGTAGAATGGGAAAATTTGTAATGTTCTTTGTGAAAGATACAGCCAATATGTTTATTTACTGTAGTTATTAAGTAGCATACATAGGTTTGTTCTTATGCTTTAAGCTTCTAGCCTAAAATATTTTATGATATAATGTATGTAATGTATGCATCTCTCTGTGTGTACATACACATTAAGTAATTGTTTTCTTTACATTAAGGAACCCTTCTTTTATTACAGGAAATTCATTATGGATTAGATTTCTCTTCCG